TGTCTCAAATAAGTGGAAAAGACACACTAGACTTAAAACTCCATCTAGAAGAATGCCTAATATTAGGGAAAATAAATGGCTAAGTACTTTTCTAGATCTAGTACATGATGACCTTGGAAAAATAGACTGGACAATGAGGAAGGTTGATAACCTGACTAAAGCTGAAAGAATAGCTCTTAGGGAACTTAAGAATGCTAAAAATATGGTGATTAAAAAAAGTGATAAAGGGGGAAATGTAGTATTACTAGAGAGTGTGGAATATGAAAAGGAGGTACTTAGACAGTTGAAGAGTCCGGATACATATCGTAAACTACATAATAATCCTTTTCCCAAACTCGTAGTTGCCCTAAATAAAAAAGTGGAACTGGCACGTGAAGTAAACTTACTAACTAAACAGGAATGTGACATGCTGACAGTTGATGTCTATAACATCCCCACCTTTTATGTAATCCCAAAAATACATAAAAATCCTACCCAACCACCGGGACGCCCAATAGTATCTGCTATCAGTGGTCCGTTGGAACCAATAGGTAGATTTGTAGATGATCTAATTAAGGATCTGGTCTTGGAACTTAGATCCTATGTAAGGGATACGGGAGATGTACTGAAAAAGATTCTAAATGTAAGAGTACCTAAGGGTGCATTTCTGGTGGGAATTGATGTGGAATCATTATATACCTCTATTCCACACGTCTGGGGACGGAGAGCTGTGGCCTACTTTTTGGAGACATATTTCCCTGAAATGGAGGCTCAAAATGAATTTATATTGGACTTGCTGGATTTTATGTTGACCCATAACTGTTTTCAGTTCCTGGGTTCTTTCTACCAGCAAATATGTGGTACCTCCATGGGAGCACCCTGGGCCCCGGCATTTGCATGCTTACATCTAGGCCTATGGGAAGAGGAGTTGGTTTATCCCTCCACTCCCTATAAGCAACACGCAATAAAATGGTTGCGATATATTGATGATGTCCTGATGGTCTGGGATGGAGGTATAGATGAGTTTAAAAAAATTTATGGAATTCCTAAATGATAACGATAGGAATATCAAACTTACTTATACAGCAGATAGAGAGGTAATAACATTCTTGGATTTATCAATCTCAATTTATGAAAATAAACTAGTCACTAAAACGTTTAGAAAGGAAACAGTGGCCAATACACTTTTACATGCTAATAGCTACCATCCAAGGAGCTTAAAACAGGGAATACCCATTGGCCAGTTTCAGAGAATAAAAAGGAACTGTACAGAAGAAGCTGAATATAGAAATGAATCTATTCAGCTCTACAAGATTTTTAGGGAAAGAGGTTACTCACATAGAACCCTAAGAAGAGCAAAAAGAAGAGCTCTTGGTAGAACAAGAGAGGAGCTTATAAATAAACCAAAATCAAAGCCAGGGGCGAACTCGGTAAATCAACCGGTAAGATTCATAACTAAATTTGGACAACAATGGGATGAAGTCAAGAAGGCCCTGGACTCTCATTGGTATTTATTAACCTCTTGCCGTCCGCCTGCTGTTTATAAACGGCAGGGCGGTGGCAGTCCAAGGTCGGGTTGCCGTTCCTAAACGGCACCCGCCTTTTCTAGCTGTGCGCGCTCCCTAGGAGCGCGCACCACCGCGATCCGGTGTCCGCTGTGTCCTCCGGACACAGTGAAACACCGATCGTCGGACGGGACCTCTGTACGAGGTCCCGGTCATGTGATCACTGATTGGCGCGAATCAGTGATCACATGCAAAGTAGTAAGCAAGATGTCACTTGTGACATCATTGCTTACTACGTGTGAAATCTGTGAATGATCACAGAGGTCACATGGTACAAGGCTATTCACAACAGCCTTGTACCATGTGACAAGCTGTGACCAATCACAGCTCACTCAGAATTTCTCAATGACTGCAAGAATGCAGACAGAGAGAAAGAGAAATGATTGCTTTTACATCCTATATGGGGTGTAAAAGCAATCAGTGTAAAAAAAAAAAAAAAAAAATCTTCATCACCCCCCACAAGTAGTACAATGTCACCATGGTGACACTGTACTGCTAGGGTGACAGTATGTAAAAATAAAAAATAAAAATAAAAAATAATATAAAAAAAAATAAAATAAAAAATGTAAAAAAAAAATGTTTAAAAATTATAATGTTTGGTTATAAACTAATTTGGATTTTTTTTTTTACTAAAAAAATAACGGAATAAATTTTGGTCAAGATTTAGGATGAAATATTATTTATTTGCAAAATTTTATTTAAAAAAACACTTTTTTTTTCAAAATTTTTGGACTTTTTTCATTTACATAGTAAAAAAAATAAAAATCCCAGCGGTGAATAAATACCACCAAAATAAAGCTTTATCTGTCTCAAAAAAATGGTAAAAAATTCATATGGGTACAGTATTGCATGACCCGCGCAATTGTCATTCAAAGTGTGATAGCGCTGAAAGCTGAAAATTGCCCTGGACAGGAAGGGGGTAAAAGTGTCCGGACAGGAAGTGGTTAACTCAAAATCCACAGATAGCAAGAGTGGTAGGGGAGAGCCCCCAAATGGTAGCAAAAAGAGCTCGGAATCTAAATGACATACTAGTACAATCAGAGTTTCAGAGGGCACCACAAAGAAATTGGCTAACTAGGAGGACAGGCCTATGTGGTATGTTTCCATGTGGCCACTGTCAAATTTGTCCATTTGTACATAAGTCTAACCAGTTCTTTAATAATGATAAATCTAAGGCATTCCAGATACGAAGTTTTATTAACTGCTCCAGCAGTAGAATAATATATATGATAGAATGTCCATGCAAGAAGATGTATATAGGAAAAACGAAAAGGAACCTCAGGACTAGGATCAGTGAACACTTGAGAGACATTAGAAATGAAAATAGGAATGTAAGAAAAGGGAGAAAAAGAGAACCCACTGGCACAACACTTTAAAGAAGTACACGGGGGTAAAACAGAAGGTCTAAAAGTGAAAGGGATTTTCTTGCTTAATATTTCAGCTCGTCGGGGGGACTTTGATAAAGTCCTCCTACAAAAAGAAAAATTCTGGATCTATACCCTGGGTGCACTTGTCCCATACGGACTGAATACAGAACTCAACTTTGGAGTTTTTTTGAATTGAATTTCTTGGAACCTCTAATATACCCTGAGCTATAATCTAAACTGGGGTATTATATAGGGGAGTGAAATATGGATCTATCCGGATAAAGTATGAATTTAACTATGTGAGTCTTCTTATTCCTACTACATATTGAATTCTTATAATAACTAGATCAATACTAAAATTAGGAAATTGAATCCTCTCTTGATGCCCCCCCCCCCTTTTTGAACTATAATATAAAAATTTCTTTCCATTATCCTCTTTAAAGATGATCTGATTTACAATAATATGGTCCCCCCTTTTTTATTGCCAGCAGTCAATTTAAAATTTAATATATGTGTTTTAGGCCCTCTGGAAACTACCATAAAGTCCTACTACTACAGCGGTTCGCAAACGGCAATCCCCTAGGGCAGCGGTTCTCAACCTGGGGGTCGCGACCCCTTTGGGGGTCGAACGACCATTTCCCAGGGGTCGCCTAAGACCATCGGAAAAACACATATTTCCGATGGTCTTAGGAACCGAGACACCGCTGCAGTCTCCGGCGATGTGTGGGCGGGATGATACGCTGCTGTCACCCGGCCACACCTCCAAGATCGCTCAGCAGCTCCGCCTCCTCGCCGCTGATTGGCCACCGAACTGTAGCTCAGGAGAGGCACACAGGCGGCCAATCACCGGCGAGGAGGTGGAGCTTGGAGAGGAGGAGCCAAGCGGCAGCGCGCGGACATCAAAGAAGACCGAGGGAGCGAGTGAAGAGGAGAGCGGCCAGAGAGAAGGAAGACAGCTGACAGGTAAGGTGAGAGAGCGAGCCCAGGCTGGAGCAGGGGGTCAGCAAGGTAAGTATCATTGGTGTCAGTGGGAGGAATAGTGCCCCCATCAATTTTGTGTCACTAATACCAACGATGGGGCACTATTCCTCCCCCCACTGACACCAACGATGGGGCACTACTCCTCCCCCCACTGACACCATTGATGGGGGCACTATTCCTCCCCCACTGACACCAACGATGGGGTACTATTCCTCCCCCCAACTGACACCAACGATGGGGCACGTATATTCCTCCCCCCACTGACACCAACGATGGGGGCACTATTCCTCCCCCCACTGACACCAACGATGGGGCACTATTCCTCCCCCCACTGACACCAACGATGGGGCACTATTCCTCCCCCCACTGACACCAACGATGGGGCACTATTCCTCCCCCCCACTGACACCAACGATGGGGCACTATTCCTCCCCCCACTGACACCAACGATGGGGCACTATTCCCCCCCCACTGACACCAACGATGTGGCACTATTCCTCCCCCCACTGACACCAACGATGTGGCACTATTCCTCCCCCACTGACACCAACCACTACCCCCCCACTGACACCAATGATTGGGGCACTACTCCCCCCACTGACACCAATGATGGGGCACTACTCCCCCCACTGACACCAACGATGGGGCAGTATTCCTCCCCCCACTGACACCAACGATGGGGCAGTATTCCTCTCCCCCACTGACACCAACGATGGGGCAGTATTCCTCCCCCCACTGACACCAACGATGGGGCAGTATTCCCCCCCCACTGACACCAACGATGGGGCAGTATTTCCTCCCCCCACTGACACCAACGATGGGGCAGTATTCCTCCCCCCACTGACACCAACGATGGGGCAGTATTCCTCCCCCCACTGACACCAACGATGGGGCAGTATTCCTCCCCCCACTGACACCAACGATGGGGCAGTATTCCTCCCCCCACTGACACCAACGATGGGGCAGTATTCCTCCCCCCACTGACACCAACGAAGGGGCAGTATTCCTCCCCCCCACTGACACCAACGATGGGGCAGTATTCCTCCCCCACTGGACACCAACGATGGGGCAGTATTTCCTCCCCCCACTGACACCAACGATGGGGCAGTATTCCTCCCCCCACTGACACCAACGATGGGGCAGTAATTCCTCCCCCCACTGACACCAACGATGGGGCAGTAATTCCTCCCCCCACTGACACCAACGATGGGGCAGTATTCCTCCCCCACTGACACCAACGATGGGGCACTATTCCTCCCCCCACTGACACCAACGATGGGGCACTATTCTTCCCCCCACTGACACCAACGATGGGGCACTATTTCCCCCCCCCCCCCCCCCCCCTGACCCCAATGATGGGGCACTATTCTCCCCTCCCACCCTCATGACATCAATGATGGGGCACTATTTCCTCCCACTGACACCAATGATGGGGCACTATTCCTCCCCCCACTGACACCAACGATGGGACACTATTTCCCCCCCACTGACCCCAACGATGGGGCACTATTCTCCCCTCCCCACACTGACACAATGATGGGGCACTATTCCTCCCACTGACACCAATGATGGGGCACTATTCCTCCCACTGACCCACATGATGTGTGGCACTATTCCTCCACTGACACCAGTGATGGGGCACTACTTCCCCCCACTGACACCAGTGATGGGGCACTACTCCCCCCCACTGACACCAGATGACGGGGGGCACTACTCCCCCACACTGACACCAATGATGGGGCAACTACTTCCCCCACTGACACCAGTGATGGGGCACTACTCCCCCCACTGACACCAATGGATGGGGCACTACTCCCCCCCCACTGACACCAGTGATGGGGCACTACTCCCCCCACTGACACCAGTGATGGGGCACTACTCCCCCACTGACACCAATGATGGGGCCATCTACTACTCCCCCACTGACACCAATGATGGGGCACTACTCCCCCCACTGACACCAATGATGGGGCACTACTCCCCCCACTGACACCAATTGATGGGGCACTATTCCTCCATGACACCAATGATTGTGGCACTATTCCTCCCCACTGGATACACACAGTGATGGAGCACTACTCCTCCCACTGACACCAGTGATGGGGCACTACTGTTCCCTGACCACTGACACCAACGATGGGGGGCACTACTCCCTGACACCAAACTGGATGGGGCATACTCCTCCCACTGGAACGATGGGGCACTACTCCCCTCCAATGACACCAACGATTGTTGTGGCATACTACTCCACTGACACCACTGAGCACCAACGATGGGGCACCTTACTCCTCCCACTGACACCAACGATGGGGCACTGACTCCTCCCACTGACACCAACGATGGGGCACTACTCCTCCCACTGACACCAATCGATGGGGCACTACTCCTCCCATGTCACCAAGAGGGGACTACTCCTCCACTGCACAACGATGGGGCACTACTCCTCCCACTTGACACCAACGATGGGGCACTTACTCTACCACTGACACCAACGATGGGCATACCTCCTCCCACTGACACCAAGATGGGGCACTATTCCATTCCCACTTGACATCAGTGGACGGGGGCACTATTCCTCCCACTGATTACCAACCATGTGGGCACTTTTCATCCACCACTGACATCGAGTGATGGGGCCCTATATCCATGACATCAGTGACGGGGACATTCCACTGACACACTATCATCCATGACATACGTGCACTGGGGATATCCTTCCTCCACTGCAAAATTACAGTTTCTGCAAGTATACAATGACGTAAATGAAAATTTTATGGTTGGGGGTCACCACAAACATGAGGAAACTTGTATTAAGGGGGTCGCGGCATTAGGAAAGGGTTGAGAAACACTGCCCTAGGGGAAGGATTTACCTTTCACCGGTGGCAAGTTAATTTAAGGCTTTACAGCTGTGTAGATGTGTAGGGGGGGGGTGGTGGCTTTGATGGTATAGAGTTATATCTGGAGCTAAGAGGGCATGTTATACGGGCCTAATCTACCCTGTATGAACTCGGGGGAACTTTTTTGGAAATCCTCTTTTAGAGGTATAAACATACTTTATATATATTTAATTTTTAATATACTTATAACGCTATCCTATTTAGGCATTGTATGCTGTGACAAAGCCATATCCTTATTCAAACCGCTTCAAATTTTCTCAGATTGAGTTAATTTTTGGAAACCCTTCAGTGGATATATACAGAGCTCAGGTTATTCACGGCCTGCTATATACACAGTGTATGTGTTTGGAATCTACGTACTGTGATACCTGGGCTCCCCACCCCCATATGCCCTCTGAATAAGCATCAAGGACCTGATCCTATTTCAAGTCGACGGGAGTCCTCTTTGATCTTTATTGATGGTAATAATACCCATACTTTGTTTTTTTTGCTTTCAGGGTTTTCACTTGATTGCCTGTGCTTTTTTATACACTAATTTCTATGTATATACCCCAGAATCATTTGGTACTGTGGACCTGTGTTTCCAACTTGGGGTGGCTATCCAGGAAGTCCCCACATTGAGAAGCGGGTATGACAGTTTCACAACCTAAGAAAGGTAATGAAGGTGTCCACTAATTACTGTAGAAAGGAGGCTTGTGTGAGGCCTGGATGTGATTCAGCTCCTATATATTTCATAATTTTTGTGTATTTTTGTGTTCCAGCTTCCATACCACAGGAGGACTACTCTACATCGCTGACTTATATTGGGAAACATATTTGCTGAATCTATGGTTCACTCTAATATACAAGCTGGAAATTCATGGAAACCTAGGATCAAAACCTCACCATTACGTAACATTTGCCTTATATGGTACTCTACTTTGCCCATATGAAGGACTGATTTGAGGAGGTAAGACTTTAAATTTTATTATTAAGTTTTTTTTTTTCTAAGTTTTTTTTTGCTTTTATAAAGTTCTTTTAAAATGATTTTATTTGCTTGACCAGTTCACCGGGCTCATGTTTAAAACTCTCCTTATGATCTATGTGAATCAAAATAAATGTATTGCCTGTTAAATTTTTTGAATCCATATTACTCGCGTGGGATCTCTCAGTAACCTTTTCTTTTTTTTCAGGTCGGGGTGCTCTTGTCACACTACCAATATTGTTCAGTATGCATTTTCTGGGTTTATGGATCCACACTTATATATTAAGTGAGTCGGAGATATGATTATGACATCCAGCTATTCGTTGTCATTTAGGGTGGCCTGTTTTATGCTCTATTTTTGTTTTGTGACAATAAAGCTCCCCGGTTCGCAGGGTTGTGTTCGTTCTTATGGAATGGAAGTACGAAGGTATATGATATATTCTTCTTCGCACCCACAGCATCACCTCATAGGGAATCTCTGCATTGCATCTGCAATCACAACGATGACTTCGGATCGCCACTCAGCCTATTGGATCTTGTAGTCGTCGCCCCACACTGTGCTGGGGGGACTTTTTACTAGGTGGTAATTGGCCTACAATTGAAGCTGCTTCCGCTCCGCACTGCATTGGACTTTGATAGTCGTCTCCCCAGCTGCCCGGGGGGGTTTTTTAACTAGGCCCTTTTTATGGTCTTTAAAATTTAAGCTGCTTAGCTCCGCCCCTCTGCCATGGGCCCCCCTTTTGGGGATCCCAGAAGCTGTCCGGGGGCAGGGGGAAAAAACTCCCCGGGTTTGCAGGTTGTTTTCCCTCTTATTTGGGTGGAAGTAGACGGTTTTTGATCTTCTTCCAACCCCCGGCATCACCTTTATGAATCTCTGCCTTGATCTGCAAAACACAACGCTTTATTCCCGGTCGCCACTCACCCATTTGGATCCCTTTATAGTCATCTCCCCCCACTGCTGCTGGGGGGACTTTTTAACCCAGCCTTGTATGGCCTTCAAGGAAGCGCTTTTGCTCCGGCCCCTTTTGCCCTTGGGGCCCCTTGGGTAGTCATCTCCCCCGCTGTTGGGGGGGATTTTTAACAAATTGGCCCCCTGTATGGCCTTTTAAATTGGGAAACTGCTTACGCTCCCCCTTGCCAAGGGCCTCTTGGGGAATTTTTAGAAGCTGCTCAGCGGTTCAGGGCAATAAAACCCGGTTCGCCCGGTTTTTCCCCTCTTTTGGATGGAAGTAGACGGTTTTATGAACTTCTTCCCCACCCATGCATTTCTTTGTTTGAAATTTTTCCCTTTTCTTTTGCAATCACAACGCTTTATTCCCGTTTGCCAACAAACCCTTGGACCTTGATTTGCGTTTTCCCCATCTGCTTGGGGGACTTTTTAACCTAAGGGCCCGTGGGATGCCTTAAATTTAAAACTTTCCCTTTGCTCCGCCCCTCGCCATTGGGGCCTTGATTGCTTCCCCGCTGCCGCGGGGGGAACTTTTTAACCAAGGTTTTGTAGGCCTTCAATTTAAGCTGCTTCTGCCCGCCCCTCTGCCATTGGACCTTGATTGTTTGTCCCCCACACTGCTGCTGGGGGGGCTTTTTTTAAAAATAGGCCTCTGTATGGGCCCTTTAATTTAAGCTGCTTTCCCCTTCGCCCACTCTGCCCTGGGCCCCTTTTACCGGGCCCCCTCTTGCTGCTGCCAGGGG